TCGTATTATTTCGCTTTCGGGTAGTAATATGTCAAAATGGTTGGTTCTTAGGCGAACAATGTATGGAGAACGAACATTGTCCTTTAGCAAATCCATCGAAGAAACCTCTGAGGGTTATTATTTACATTGACACTATCTTTATCGCCTAAATCTTCGTCAGTCTGATCATCATTAGCGGTCATCTGACAAGACAGCAGTAGAAAAATACCAAAATTTCTTTATGTTTGCTGAAATTATCAAATTTTTCATGATTTGTGGCAATAAATTGAAGCATCAATAGCCTACAACAAATAAAAATAATAAAAATTAAATTATATTTTTTCGCATGATTTGCTCATGCATAGACCTACTGTACCTTATACGGTACACCTATTTTAGACTGGAATAAACCGTATAAAAATAATCTAAATAATATTTTTTTCTAGTCATGATATTTAATGTACTCTATTTTTAAAATAAAATTGATAAATAACATAATTTACAATTAATAATAAGAAATTATACCTTCTTAAAAACATTGTAAATTTTTTTTTGTTTTCTGTCGAGGAATTTCATAAATATTTCCGAAACCACTTGTTAAAACATATTTTTAAATATTTTTATGTAAAATAATAACTTTAAGCTTACTGTCACAATCATTTTTACAAATTAATAACAGTTTGGTACTTCGAAATATTTTCAAAAAGATACCGTACCACATAGGGTACGGTAGGGCTAAATGGGTTAAAAATATTGGTAGAACCACTACAAAGTTATATTTGTCATGGAACTACCAAATAGGATCAAGAGAATAGCCCTGACTGATTGAGTCTTCCCAGATATTTATCTTCTTCTTCCTTCCAGGATGCTACCTCGTCCGGCTCTTCTACCTCGGCGCCTGGAGATGCGTCTGGGTCAGTGACCAGGTCCCAGTCGATGCCACCGACTCCCCCCTCCTGCCGTTCTCTCCTCTCCTTAGTAATATGCCTACAGGCAAGCCGGGGCCCAAGCAAGTGATCACTACTGTCACAGCACCGATCGTACATCTGTGGCCTTTGCTGCTCTGCAAGGTAAGTCTAGAATCCTAATTCTGTTTTCCAAAAATTGCAACAATTCTGCCAACAATAGCACAATACATCTTGGTAACCGAACCCGTAACCACAGCTGAATTTTATTGTAATCTGGTACACGAGAACCATTAAATGCAATAAAGCAATGGAACTACTAAATCTGTAAATCTACTATATAAAAATAAGTCGGGTTTTACTTCCTGACGCTATAACTCCAGAATCTCGAACCGATTTCTAGGGTTTTGCATTCGTTGGAAAGGTCTCGGGTTCCGTGAGGTTTACAGCAAAGAAAATTCAGGAAAATTTAACAAACGAAATTCCACGCGGGCGAAGCCGCGGGCAGAAAGCTAGTTATTAAATAAATAAGTCATAGCCGTTATTTTAGACCCTTTTAAATTTCGCAAACATCAAAAGAAACGACTTGAAGAACAAATTAATACGAGTCGTAGCCTTATAATACACAAAAACCTAATACGTTCCATTCTCGTTACACAACACCGCATCTGTTTAACGGAGTATCCTCGTTTTCCGTCATATTTCCCCACTTAACTTGGCTCGGCGAGTAATAGCATTATTACAAGGGTATTTTCACTCCTTTCTTATTCTCCGGACCGCAGACCGCAACCAGAGTAAATACAAATGAGTAGGTCATCTTCATAGAAACGCCCGAGCGCTGTATGTATGAGAGCGCGCGCCAATACGTATGCGGCGCGCACGCATACACTGACAAAATTTAGCGTTGATAGCGGTGAGTTGCCCGAATTTTGTCAGTGTGTGCGTGCGCGCTGCATACGTTTTGGCGCGCGCTCACATACAAACCGCGCTCGGTGCGTTTCTATGAAGATGACCTACTCATTTGTATTTACTCTGCCGCAACACTCAATTAGAGACTGGCTTGCTACCAATAATGGGGTAAATCTTCAATTTATTTACCAACCGTACAGTTAAGAAATGTATTTCAAGAAGCGTCTTATGCTGAAGATATAAAGTCCAAATTGTTGCAAATGTTTATGAAATTTCCTTTACTATGATTCAGAAGAATGACGTTTGGTAAGATAGGTAATTTAACGAAGAATGCCGAAATACGTAATAGGTTAACTAGCGTTGTGGTTTTGTGCTAAGTAATAGTTGTAATAGACTTTGAACAAAAATTAAATAAGTTATGTATTTAGCAATTTACAGACAACATGATTCCAATGTAGAAAAGTAAAAAACTTAGCTGTAAATAAACTTTAAAAATATTTAAGGTATTTACTATTGACTTGCGTTGCCAAATTGAACGACAAAATTTTAGAGCTACTAAGGAGTCATCATTTAACTGGAAAATTACTCAAAGTATACTCAAACTTTTTACTGCTTCACTCAAAATAACTCGTGCGCCTCCTCGAGTTTGATGGCAATTCATCGCACGCGACGTTTTGATTGCTAATCAAAATTTAACAGGCGTTGCTAAAGTTGGCGGCTCCTGACATGAATTCTGATGAGGAGCTGGATTCTGTGGAAGACGAGCCGATGCCTGAGTTCAACATGATGCATGCCCTTACGGGGGCAATGAACTTGACATACAACGTCAGTGGTAAGTAACCTATGATTACTTATTAATTATGCTAATTAGGCCCTATTAGACTAGACTAGACTAGACTTATTAAAATCTTTTTGGCCCTCTTATTCATAATTTTGATTCTCAGTCTTATTATTTTTGTATTGTCAGATATCGAAGAGCTCTGGAACCTGCTCACAACAGAAGTGCCAGTGTTCGGCTGGGATGATGACGATGACACACTAGCCAGCACTGTCAAGTCAAGGAGCACCAAGAAGCCCACCACCAAAGAGGCTGCTGTGGTAAGGATACCAAACTGACTGACTGATCAAATAATGAAAAAAAGAAATAACGATCAATTGAATGACCTTTTTTTTAGCGAAGCTCAATGACTTTCGTAACTATCGGCGACTCGAAGAACCATGCGCCTTACGCCCTGCCAGGGATCACTCCCGCGCATGAGATGGAGTTGATCGTCAGCATGGCCAGAGACCTGCCATTGAAGAAACCTTTGCCAGAGCCCGGTAAGACACTGGAAAATCTATTGATAGACGTATCATCGCCATCAAAAAACAAAGAAGAAGAAGTAGATTTTTAAACTGTAAATAACATGTAAATATTGTGACAATGTGAGATGTATACCTAGGCCAATAGCTTCTCGTTGAAGATGAAAAAAATTAAGACCTGAAGAAAAGAATGTGTGGTCACAAATACATTTCGAGACTTTCAAGAGAGTCTCTTTCTGTGGGCGTTAGATTAATCGCAGGGGCAGGGGCATTTTGGGGCTATAATTTAAGAATAGTCCTTGAAAGTGACAATTGCACCTTAACATAAAGAGACACAAATCGTTATGTAGGAGAGGAAACATTTCCAGTTTAATCATATAACTGCGCTATTAAATACGACATGCAAAACGATGTTAGCAGTGAGGTGTTTTGAATACTAACAATTTTGAAAATTATTTGCTTCTTGTATTACAGACGTAGCATTATGGAAGCACTACCGTTGGGTAGACTGGGCCCGTAGNTTTTTTTTTTTTTTTTTTCGGGACTATTCCCACCTCTCGTTCCCACCACTGCAACTCCTGTGTAGCCAGGATCTACAGCTTGACCGCCACAAAAACCCAACCAATGAAGGTCAAGTTTGTCCCGGGGGAAAGTTAAACTGTCATTGGACCCGCAACGAAATTAATCAGAAGAACATAGGAGGAGTTCGAAATTAAGGTTCGACTTCCCTCCATTGCAAAGCGGATCTCCCTCCCTCCATTGCATTTGCCTCCTGTCACATAAAAAAAAATATATATGTTTCTCACACTTCAACTGGCATTGGATTCAACATCGGATTCTGACATTTTTACAGTTATGATATAGTTCCAAAATACTGGACTGTCCTGTCGATGACATTGATAATGGGGCGCCACCGTCAATACCGGATCGCTGGTTCAGATTTTTGCCATGTTGGAAACCATATAGTTGAACGATGGTAGCGCCCCCCTGTCATTGAGTTTGGCGGGACAGTTCAGCGTGGGTCATCTATACCATGAATATCAGTTTATGGTCCTAATTATTTTTATTTTATTTTCGACCTTCAACCAGTTGGACACTTTAGATAGCTTCTTGTAATAGTGTCAATATTTTTTTAGCTTTTAACGCAAATCTAGTCTTCAAAGCAGTTTAATCGATTTATTTTATTTTCAAAATCGATATTTTATTGTCTATGATGGCCGCAGGAACATCACTATACATGGACTCCCAGCAATAAAGAGGGCAATAAAGTACGGTAATGCCTCGTACAGATTTTATCGGCAAAAATTATGGAACTTGATAGGTTTTAGACCATGCCACGCACCAAAACGTCCGGAAGTTGTAATAGTATTATAGAATAAACGTTAAAAGACTTATTATTTTAATTTTTCAATGCTTAAGTGTCCATTAGAACGAAAGGGTGCTTAATGTATTAAAAAAAATAGAAAATAATTATGATGGGTTAATGTTTTTTGGCGGTTTTTAGGCGGTTTCTGACAATGTCCTTTCCATGGTCGTTTTGCTAAATGCGATTATGGATAGCACTAAACGTAACAAATCAGAAGAAGCCAGGTCTTCTTCAGCTATCCTCACTAACTTCGGAGAAGGTAGGAAAAAAAAACCAAATGTGGATAGTATCACAGAAAACGTCTTGCAAGATATGCCGAGTGTGATACTAGTGATTATATGATTTCATTTTTATTTTATATCATACAAAAATAAATAAAAATCTTCTTTGAACAACGACTATGTTTTGCTTGCTTATAGACCTACTGTACCCTTTATGGTACGGGCTCCCCACGGCCCCCTATTTATGGATTATTTTTTTTAATATTTTTTTCATGATTTTTAGGCTTCCCTTTGTAAGTTTTTGCTGGAAAGACAATTTTTATTTCCAAAAATAATTATCGGTCTAAATGGGTTAATTACCCCTCAGTGTCTGGAGGCAACTTAAAAAAGTACATTCTGTGTTTTTATTATTATTTAGGCAGTTAAATACTGCACAGTATTTAGTACACCATTTTCTCTATTTTCCTCCATCATACATAAGAATACGCGTGCGTGAGTCAATGTTAGCTCGTATGTGAGGCCTTGTCGAATAGTATCCTGTAGGTGGGCCATCGTGCGTGTTTTGTTTTCGATGTAAACTCGCGGAGATGAACAGGCCTGGCTGGACTGACTCGTTAATCCAGCTTCAAATATCTTCGTTCTATCCATAAGTTACACTTATAATACAAGTTCACTTATCGAATGCAGTTGGTTATGCAAGAGGGTTGGTTGACCTCTAAGTGCATAGAATCAATTCAGCCTCCGTGGACTGCATACTGATGCATACTATCGGAGATGGAAGAAAAATTCTACGTGTAGAATATTCGCGAGTCAAATGAGAATATTAGGAGATATTGGAATTGAGGGCAAGTGTTAGTGTGATGAAATCTTTTTGAATACTTGCACAACCTTAGCTTTTTTGCAACCCAGGGTTAGATTCCTTATGTTTTTCCCTTTATTGTTGGTGGATAGTGTAATATGCGGTTGACAGCATAAATGATGGGATTAATTCTTACATTTTTGTAGCATAATAACACCTAATTAAAAACACATAAAGATGTCAGTATTAATTTTTATATGCCGTCGAATGCATAGATCCATATTTTCAATACAATGTGACAGAGAAAAATAAGAGTAGGTTTAGTACCTTACATATTTTCGTACATGAGTGTGTACAAAAAATATGTTGTTTTAAAACCATAAAGAAAAAGCTTTTGGCCATAGAGGCCATAATCTCTCTGATATAAAGTGATTTAGTATTCACATTAAAAAATTTGTTTCTTATGCCATCCTGCACACATAAAATTAAATTCTCTTGAAGCCAAATACATACTAAACTATTATAATGTATTAAAAAACCCATAAAGAATATCCAGATCGCCATAAAGTTTGTCTATGCGAATTCCCGATAGCTTTCATGTGCCGCCATACTGTTTATAATGTTTTTGATATAAATTCGCGCGTGTGTATTAACCTATTTATTCTATTTATGTAACTTTCACTAGCCTGGGCCTTTAATAACAAATAAAACTAACTCACATTAAAGATTGTAAGGAAAATGAAATAAAAACACGTGTCCGAATCCAATCAACAATAACTATAAAGTATCCGCTCCAATCTGTCCCATTGGACTACTTCTACTGTATTTGAAACAGACAACTTTATACTTTTTCTTATTAGAATCTGGAACTGAGGGAGAATAGTTGTTTGTCCACTGCTGGATAGAGGCCTCCCCCAAGGATTTTCATTACAATCGGTCCTGCGCTGCCCGCATCATATCAGATATAAAATAATCAAATCTTGCAATTCAATATAAAGACTTTAGCTCGCTTTACAATCATTGCAATTTCTTTACTTTTTAGTTACAATTCTAAAAGTTTTCCCTCACTAATTTAATTAGAGCTAAGAACAAGAAATACACTTCATGCTTTTCCCAGCTTCGGCCTACTTTCCCCAATACCACTAGCAGCGGGGCGCCGCTTCTTCAGCCGTATCACTTACGTATCACTTATTCACTGCAGGCTAATGTGGAGAAGCGATAGCCGTGAGAAGTCTAATGGGTTCCTTTGATCTATTTCAGATGTAGACCGCGGTGTAGTCGTTTGGATTGCTAGAATTTGTTTATTATTTGTTTACTTTTGCTTTGATATAGTAAGTTCATTTTAGCCTGTATTTTTATCTAGTTTTTGTGGTCTTTTAAACACCTTATTTGCTATAAATCTTATATAACTTCATCTCATTATTTTGCTAACAAATTAAGTGCTTGCAATTTCAAATGTCCATAAAAAGTTTTAACAATCTGTCCCTTGGAACCTCTGAATGGAGGTTAAGTCACAATAATAACTTATTCAGTAGTTTTATAAAACTTGTGTAATGAATCCAGTAAAAATTGCTCAGATTATGAAGGCCCTCTAAGCTTCAACTATTTAAGTGTACTCGTTATTACAAAGCTTAATAAAGTAAAATATTCAATAAAATGCGCAACACTTGAAACTCGAAGCGTATCATTAGAAACAACACTGAAAAACGGGACTATTCCCACCTCTCGTTCCCACCGCTGCAACTCCTATGTAGCCAGATTCTACAGGTTGACCACCAATAAAAACCCAACCAGTGAAGGTCAAGTTTGTCCGGGAACAACACTACTGAGCTTGCATTATCTGTGCAGTATCTGTAAAGTGAGTAACCCAACTTTGTGTGCCCTGAATTAATTACTAAACCCATTCCAAGTTGCTGGAAAAATAAAACAGTTTACAATGATGTTATGCGCTTCAGCCAAGAATCCTTCTAATTTTGTGGAATCTCATGATGTGACAGTCGTTCAGCAAACTCTTTGCTATTTAAGAACAAAAAGTTCTCAACGTGAAAGAGCGTCTCTAGGGTTCTCTCTGTAAAAATAGTGGCGATATAGTATTTGCAAATTCGAGCGCCTAATTAGATCGAAACGTTGTATATTAGTAACAGGCCATCAGTGTATTATGTGTAGATACACATTTGTTGTAAAATAGTAGTTATCAACTACTACATAGATGTAGTAGAACTGAGAGCATATGTAAGATGTGTCACACACAAAAAAAAAAGAAAAAAAAAATTAAAAATATCTTTCACTAGCTTTTCGCAGTTTTGCCCGTGTAATTTCAGTCTACTATAGCCTATGTGACGTAAGGATAATGTAGCATTCTAATGGTAAAATAACTTTAGAAATTGGTCCAGTAGTTTTAAGTAAAAATTAGTATGATTATTTTAACCCAATTAATAGGTACCCCAAAACGTCCAGACTCCTAAAATAGTCTTGTTACAACAGGACCGTCTCTGTGAAATTTAACCTTAAGGACGTTGTCCCGAATATCCCAGTCCAGCAGGAGGCGATAAATCAGGCTCGTTAGCGAGTTATTTACGACTGGAGTGGTTACTAGTTGCAGTAGTCACTATTCGGTCTGGGTTTGCGGGTAACTGGATAACTGCAACGGAACGAATGAGTTGAGAGTTATGACGCAAACAGTTTAGTAACTAGTTGACTATACGT